AGACTGTCTTGACTCCATTGTATTGTCTTGCCTCCTTTTCAATATTAATTAAGCACAATGGCTTCGGTGGATTTCTGGGTTCTCTGTTCTCTTCCATTGGTCTATATGTCTGCTCTTGTACAAGTACCAGGCAGTTTTGAGAACTGTGGCTGGGTAATATAGCTTGATATCTGGTATTGTGTTCTCTCCAACATTGGTTTTCTTTCTCAGTATTGCTGTGTCTATTCTGGGGTTTTTTTATTCCATCTGAATTTTTGGTGAGTTTGTTCTAGGTCTGTGAAATATGATATTGGTATCTTAATGAGGATTGCATTGAATCTATAGATTGCTTTGGGTAGTATGGACATTTTAATGATGTTGATTCTACCAATCCATGAGCATAGTATATTATTCTATTTGTTTGGCCTTGATGTCTCTTGGTTGTTTTTTGGAGCATGAGTTGGTATTTTTCCTTTTCTTCATGTGCTGAGTAATTTTGGGTTGCCTCCAGGATATTTGAATATTATGTTTTAAGAACTGGGGTTTTAAAATTTAAATCCTATGGAAAATGTTGCCCAGCCGGCATGGCTCAGTGATTGAGCGTTGACCTATGAACCAGGAAGTCATGGTTTGATTCTCGGTCAGGGCGTATATGCCTGGGTTGTGAGCTCGATCCCCAGTGTGGGGTGTGCAGAAGGCAGCCAATCAGTGACTCTCTCTCATCATTGATGTTTCCGTCTCTCTCTTCTTCTTCCTTCCTCTCTGAAATTAATTAAAATATATTATAAAAATAAATAAATCCTATGGGAAATGTTGATGTTTTGTTTTACCAGGCAGTCAACCTGGTTGGGTTCTGGTTGTAAGTTCTGACTAGCCTTATCTGTGTTGTGTTTTCAACGTCAGTTCCATTTTCAAAAGCTTTTACAATGCTATTGGGTCTGGCCCTCTTATGTACCACCTGTGGCCAGTGTGAGACCTGGATAATAGTTGATATTTTACTTCTCAGAATGTTGGATATACTGTTTATGATCAGGTGAATGCATGCGTAGCTTGGGGTGAGGCCAGGAATTAATAACAACCCTGTGGGGTCACTTACCTGAGCTTTAACTCTTCACATATCCCTGGTACTTGCTGGTCCCACAGGGCTCACCTTTTCATCCAGCTGGCATGCTGGGGTTTTGTATGTCTTGCTGTGTCACGTCCAGGGCCAAGCAGCAGGAGTTCAGAGGATCAGTCCTCCCAGTGGTGAGGATGATTTTCTTCCCAGGGAGTTTGAGTTGCCTGAGGGCCCCCACTGCCAGCATGGTCATTGCAAGGAGACCCCTTCTCTACTCCTTGAGTCTGAACTACCGTCTTTGGGTACTCTTCTATGTGCGGATCAGTGCCACGCCTGGGTTTGGGGGTGCTGAGTTGCAGACTCACTGCTGGTCGGTGGTTCTTACACTTCCGGCCTTCTTCCCAGTCTGCCTGCTACTGTTACTTTCTGGGGCCTCTCATGGCAGCTCCATGTATTCTTTTCAGCGTTTCAAGCTATGTTCAGTGGAAGCCAGAGAGTGGGTGTGTTACTACATTTTATCTGGAACCAGACTTTCTAGTCCATTTTGGAGTTTGTACTAACAAATATGTGTCCACGAGCAATACATATAACACAGTGTAACATGAGTATATAGTTTTGTATAGACTTTACAAGTTGTTTATGGATGTAGTTAATTATTTTTAAATATCTTGGGCTAAAGAAGATGGGACACTTTTACTCCTGACTGGTGGACATTCAGGTTGTTTTCAGATTTGAGTCTGTGAAAATAAGGCTGCAGTAAACATCTTTGACAAACATCTCCTGCTAGCCTGGGTAAGATTTCCCCTAGGAGTTTTCCCAGAAGAGGAATACAGTAGGTCCTCGGGTTACGTTGGAAATTTGCTCCTATGGCGCCACGTAACACGATTTTCGCTGTAAGTCAGAACCCACCTACATAAGCACCTACATCACTCACATGGAGCACATACCCCGCAGTAATGAAGTGAAACAGTAAAAAAATTTTAAAAGAAAGATAACAATTCCTGACCTTTACTTGTGGTAAATAAATAATAAAAAACATAAAGCACATATGTACATACATCGAAATGATGGAACTTTTTTTTTAATGAATAAATGGGAGATGGTGACGTAACCACGAAACGACGTGGACTGCCTGTATTTGAGAAGTGGGACATGCACATTTTCAATTTTATGAGATACTGGCAAGTTGCTCACTGAAGCATATGGTACATGTTTAGTGTTCTGTACTTCGTACACCCTCCTATCGATATCTGCCTGCCTGTGTGTCTTTAGATTACCAGTGATGTCGAGACTCTTTTCTCATGTTCAAACATTTGAGGGTTTTTTTCTGTGATTTATCTGTTCATGTCTGTTGATCATTTGCTAATGGGTTATAGTTTTCTTTGTGATATGCTGTTGTTCCTTATGTCTTCTGGATACTAAACTATCGTCTCTTTTGCTTCTGTGGTCTGTACAAGGTCAGTGTTATGGGTCCAGCTAACCCCCTCCTCCAACTTCCAAGCCTGTGTGAAGGCTGGGTTTCTTCTGGCCTCTCTGTTCCACTATATGGAGCTCTGTGTCTTTGTGTCCTAATGAGCTCTTGTCCATTGCATTGGGAGATGAGGAGAATTGCCTTCAGAGAGATTTGCTTACTTCTTGGCAGCCTTCCACCTGACCACTGAGCAGAGCCCATGCACAGATGTTAGCCTCAAACCCACTTGGGATCTCAGTGTGCACCAGACTGAAGCGGGCCTTCTCACTTTACAATCTTTGGCTGCCTCCTAATAGGCGTGCCATTTGTTCGCTTTCTTCTTCACTGTTCACTCCTAACCTTAAGTTCCCTGGAACCAGGACCTTTCTTGTACTATAAGTAAAATGTTCTTTTTTTTTTTTGGCC